CTTCTCTTCTCTTCTCTTCTCTTCTCTTCTCTTCTCTTCTCTTCTCTTCTCTTCTCTTCTATTATGGCATGCCTGCACACATACAACTGTGAATAAATCACAACCAGTAACTTCATATGGCAAGTCCTCGACTTACAACGGTTTGCTTAGTGACCATTGGAAGTTACAACGGCACTGGAAAAAAGTGACTTATGACCGTTTTGCACACCTACGACCGTAGCAGCATCCCCAACATTTGATCAAAGTTCAGATTCCTGACAACTGCTTCATAACACATGCAATGATTCATTTAACAACTGTGGCAAGAAAGGTTGTAACGTGGGGGCAAAGTCACTTATCCAAGGTCTCACGGAGCAAGGTAAGTTTTGGGCTCAGTTGTGGTCGTAACTCAAGGAAATACCTGCATCTATGACGGCTGCGGGGGTCCTAAATGTGATCCCCTTTTCCGAGAAGCAAAACTCTGGGGAAGCCAGAATCACTTAACAACCGTGCTACGAATGTAACAAACAAATGGTGTCCACAAACAGGGAAAACGCCACTTAACAACTGCCTTGCTTGGCAACGGGCTGAACCGTGGTTGTAAGTTGAGGACTACCTGTAGCCCAAGCATGGTTATCTTATACACATTCAACACCCGGTGGATAAAGATCTTTAAACAGTATTTTCTATTCCTATTTTCTCATTCTTATTTTCTGGTGCAGCATGAGAAATTGGGAGTAGGATTTGCCGATAGTGCTTTGATTTTGGAGACAACCAATGAAATAGACATCCAATAGTTGTTTGCAGAAGAGATTCCAAGCTTTGCATTCGGTAAAGGAGTCTTTGGTTTTTTTTTTCCAATTCCATTCCAGAAATTACTAGTACTAGAATACGTTGCCTTGGACTGAAATATACACGAGACTATGAGTAACCATGGGCGGGCTACGTAATTTGCCATGATTAATGGTTTACATATGCTCAGGAGATACACAGGAAAAGAAAACTAACAACAGGCAATGCATTGCATCCCAGCCTTCAAAGAGTAACCCTTAAAAGCATTAACGGAGTCCACAAATACTTCCATATTTAGGATGAGTGAATATAGAACAACCTTTATCAAGATACATTCTTTTTTTAAAACATTGTAATTTCCACCTAATTAATTTGGCATTGTGGAAATTAAAGGCAAATGCATCAGAAAGGGCACCATGTTTTGAGCTATTTCAATACAATAAATTTCTCCAATCTAATTCTGTTTGTAATAAAAAAAAGTATCTTGCTTTTTAGCCTGGTGCTTAACATCTAGAGCAGGGGTCTTCAAACTTGACAGCTGTAAGACTTGTGGATTTCAACTCCCAGAATTCTTCCAGTCATGTTAGCTCAGGAATTCTGGGAGTTGAAATCGACAAGTCTTAAACTTGCCATGTTTGAAGACCCTTGCACTAGAGTCTAAACCAAACTGGCAACTATCACCTTCACTTTCTTCTTCTTCCTCCTTCTCCTCCTCCTCTTCTTCCTTCTTCTTCCTCCTCCTCCTCCTCCTCTTCTTCTGTCTCTGTCTCTGTCTCTCTCTCTCTCTCTCTCTCTCTCTATATATATATCAAAATATCCCTCGTGCATTATCACAAAATCTCCAGAACCATAAAGCCTACAAACTTGAAAATTGGCCCGTATGTTCCTCTTGGCTTCTAGGGGCTCACTAAGAAAGGATTTTTCGAAATGACCATCAGAGCATTTAGAGTATTTCCATTATTATTATTATTATTATTATTATTATTATTATTAACACGCTCTGGTGCTAAGGAGTTCTACTCCACCTCCCCACCTGAAAAGAAATCTCCAAATGCAAAACACAAGCAGAGGTGGAGTTTCAGTTTTAGCTTCACAGCACCAAGCAGCTTTAGTACAGAACAGTTGAGCTAAGCCACGCCCAGGCTCCTTGCTGTCTCTTTGCTCACACAGCAAATACTGCTTCAGTTTCCAAACAGCCCTCAACTCTCACACACTGACAGGACGCTAGCCAGATGAATATTGATGGATGCTGATAGGCAGAGGCAGAAATGTTTTCTTCTTATTTTCCTCCCCCAAAACTAAGCCTGACCACATAGTTTCGTAGCGAAGCACGGGTATCCAGCTAGTCTAGTATATACCAATATACTGAATTTCCATCATATACTATTCATCTATGTTCTATTGATCATATTTGATTGATCTAGTCCAATCCAGCTACAGCAGCCTAAAATGTAATTTTACAACACTTTTCTAAGTGAAATTAATGTAACCTCTTCTGAATTATTATCTTCGATTTAAGAGCAAAAACACTTCGTTAGGACATCTTGTTATTCCCCATATATGGTAGCAAATTAAGACCCCAGATTTATTCTTAATTGTAATTTCTGGACAGCAAAGCTGTCCACCTTACATCCTGATTCCATTTCCTGTTTACTTTAAATAATTTCGCCTCTGCATCATGAAAAAAATCACGTCAGTCGGCTTCTTGGGAAGTCCGCCTATACTTCCTTCTGCGTCTCCCGGAGAAATGGCCAGCTGTTGCACTTTCAGAAGACAAAAAAACAACAACAACCCCTAACCCAAAACATTTGGAAAACTGTCAGCTGGATTCATGTTTGGCACCAATAAGATTGAATTTAAAAATGGTTTAGTATCTGATAGTTTGTTGCGTGAGCCTAAGGTAAAGGTTCCCCTCACACATACGTGCTAGTCGTTCCCGACTCTAGGGGCGGTGCTCATCTCCCTTACAAAGCCGAAGAGCCAGTGCTGTCCGAAGACGTCTCCGTGGTCATGTGGCCGGCATGACTAAATGCCTTGGAAGGCCCATGGAGCACTGTTCCCACCGAAGGGGTCCCTATTTTTCTACTTGCATTTTTTAACGTGCTTTCGAATTGCTAGGTTGACAGAAGCTGAGACAAGTGACGGGAGCTCATGCAGTTACGCGGTGCTAGGGATTCGAACCACCGAACGGCCAATCTTTCCGATCGACAAACTCAGCGTCTTAGTCACTGAGTCACCGCGTGTGACTACCCAATTTGCAATCTGTAAAACCATGGGTAATAAGTCCTCGGTGCTCTTTGAACTTGGTGGGTTTCTTTCTGCAGACGTTTCATTACCCAACTAGGTAACATCATCATTGTAGAAGGGAGGGAGATTTGCAGAGGAGGAGGAGGAGGAAGAAAAGGAGGAGGAGGGGGAGAGGAGGAGGGGGAGGAAGAAGAGAAGGAGAAGCGGTGGGGGGGTGTCCTGGTGCTGAGCTTGGTGGTCTCCTTGCAGACATTCCATGACCCAACTAGGTAACATCATCAAACAAAACATCAGTGAAGGGAGATTTGAAGAGGGGAAGAGGAGAAGGGAAGGAGGAAGTGGAAGCGGAAGGGGAGTTGAGGGAGGAGGAGGAAGTGGAAGGGGAGGGGAGGGGAGGGGGAAGAAGAGGGGAGGGGAAGAGGAAGGAGGAGAAAGAAGACAGTTGTGAGGCTTGGTTTGAGTTTGGGTGTGAGTTTGGTTGTGCTCTTGCAGACATTTCATGACCCAACTAGGTAACATCATCAGTGCTAGAAAGGAGTGGGGTGTGTGGATGGAAGAGAAGGATCAGGAGACGGGGAGGAGGACTAAGGGGCCCTTGGTGGTCTCTGAGCTTGGTGGTTTTCTTGGCAGACGTTTCATGACCCAACTAGGTAACATCATCAGTGTTAGGAGGGTTTGTGGAGGGAACAAAGGAGAGGTGTTGTAAAAAAGAGGAAGAGCAAAGCTCACTCTCTTCTAGCACTGTTACCTCGTTGGGAAACGGAGCTCATAATTGAGCCCAACGTTTCTGTAGTTAAGTGAGACATTTGTTTAAGTGAGTTTTGCCCCGTTTTACGACCTTTCTTGACACCATCGTTAAGTGATTCGCTGCAGTGGTTAAGTCGCAACCGTCATAAATACGAGTCAGTTGCTGGGGGGGGGGTCTAAACGTTGATGGTGGGACCATGGGGAGGAACACTGCAATGGTTGTAAGGGTGAACAATAAAACCCCGTCATAAGCCCCTTTTCTTTCAATGCCGCGGTTCAGTTTGAACTGCCACTAAACGAACTGTCATAAGTCGAAGACTGCCTGCGTTTTAGACCTGTGCAAAAGGTGGGGTGTAACCCCAGAACGTGCATAAGAAAGAAACCAAGATCTCCTCCTGTGCATTGCATTAAAGCCTTCGCCTGCCTGCCAGGCTGATTGAAAAACGTATCGTTGATAGCATTCACACAATACCCTTGACCCGGATTGGCAGGGAACCTTCAGGACTGGGCTGCCTGCAACAAGAGGGCAAAATCGGACCCTCAGGAGAGCTCAGCCCTTGTCAGAAATGGCTGCTTGGGTGGGGTTGGACTAGATGACCTCCAAAGGTCCCTTCCCGCCCTGTTCATCCGTGTTGTTCTGTTCTAAGGTTGAATGACAGACCTGGGAAGATGCAACCATCCCCATTTACAGCCTCCTTGTATTTCCAAAGGTTCTCTTAGCCTCCTCTTCTGCCCCCCAAACCTCAATGGTACATCCCAAAGCACTCGATCCGAAACCGTAGGACGAGCCCATTCCCAGGGAATCATTTACGGATGGGGGGGGAGCAAAAAAGAAAAAAAAGGAAGCTCTCCCGCGGTACGGAGAGAGGAGGGACTAAGCGGCCGAGCCAATCGCCAGGGGCTCGCGGACCCCGCCGAGGGGGCGTGGCCCGGTGGAGGACGTGGGGAGGGCTGCGCCTGCGCGCGGGCAAAGCAGGCCAGCGGGGAGGGAGGGAGGGAAGGAGTGGAAGAGAGGACGTTCGCCGCCGTTTCGTCTCTCGGCGTTGGCGGAGAACGAGCGAGAGGGCGGGAGGGAGGGGCGGGGAGGAAGTCGGGAGGCCCTCTTCGGGAGAAGGGGTGGGGGGAAAGAAGAAGGCTCGCTGAGGAGGGGCCGGAAGTCTGGGCGGCGGCGGGAGCGGCAAGGAAGCCGGGCGGCGGCGGCGGCGGCGGCGGCGGCGGGGCGGCTCCTCCTCAGGCTGGGTCGCCGGAGCGTCAGCGGAGGATGGAGCAGCAGGAGGAGATCCTGAGGCGCTTCATCCAGCGCGTGAGGGCCATGAAGGACGCCGCCGAGCGCCACGGGGAGGACAACTTCGCCGCCGACTTCATGGTACGCCGGGCTCTGGGTGGCGGGGCGGGGGGGGGGGG